TTTTTATGTTTTTTTTTATTCTATATTTTTCGTGCCCAAAAAAATACAGTGAGGTAAGCAATGCCATAACAGCTATTGCCCGCTCTTCGGTCAACAGTTAGGAACAAAAGTATTTGGCATATCTTAACATGGTACATTTTATAGTGTTTAGTAGATAAGAGTGATAACATATCAGCTATTAGATAAGGCATACACCACCTTGAGTCGTGATAACCATACAGACATTTTTGTACTGGGGTCTCAAGCTGATCAGAAACAGATCTTGTCTAATTTACAAGAACAAGGTTGAATACTTTGCTTAAGTCCCATAATTTGCAATAATAATTATAAACATAAAGTAAACAGGTGTTTTGTTTTTAAATTCAAGGAAGGAGGTTGGCAGCGATGAGGTCATATGGTGATATATCTCGTATTATGCTTATTTAGAGTACGAGAGGGAATAACGAAATAATAACACTAAACTATTGCCATTCAGTAAGTAGATATTTAAGATATTTGTGTGATGTCCTATTATCTAGTGCGTATTTGAGAAGGACCTGCATAGCCACAGGAGCAGGTGTTAGCCCATTTATATCTACAGCAGTTAACAGCGATATGATAATAAAGAACCGTTCAATTTTCAGTTATGTATAGGGCCATAGGTATGCACTTGAAGTTAATGTACGGCTTCAGAAAGTGTTTACATACATGGCATATGTCTATCTTCTGCTAGAAGTGTTGTGCGCCATTGCACCAGTAATGGTGAATCCAGTGTACTTCAACTATGTGTAGCGTCTCTCTGGTGATGTGTCGTCACTGTGTATCTATGATTGGTGTAATTTAGAGTTGGCATTTGAGTGTGCCTATGTAGACAAAGTTGAGTGCTTGCTTGAGTATTAGCGTGGTGGTTTAACAGTAAAAAATTAACTAACTATGCGGAACATAATCTAATTAAGAATAACTAAGATCTTAGGTGTGGGCTAAAGACTGCGTTACTTTGTGTCCTGTTGTGTAGTACTGTTGGGTGGCCCTGCAGTCATGTTTAGGTGTTGCCTCGGCGTGCCAGTTTGCGTTGCTGTCTAGAAGGCAGTGAATGAGGCGCGGGGGTAGGAGGTGCGTGCATTATGAGAGCAGCCGGTCTACGTGGGTAGAAAATCATTTGTAGATTCAAATTCAACAATTAATAATATAGGTGGAGGTAAGAGGAAAAACAAGAGGATCAAGTACACAACTTGAGGAGGCAGACATGCCATCTAGTTCATGGGGTTCCCCATGGGCATGGGGAACTTCGGCCAAGATTCAGGTTGTCACTGCTGCTTATTGTTCCTGGGTTTCTGTGGGATGAAGGGGGTGATCCGAGATATGGGTACGCTGTTTCTCCTGTCTGTTTTGGTCAAGGGAGTCCATAGGAAGTCCCAACATGTGCAGCAAAGCCGTGGCCTCCTGGAGCTCTTGTATGTGGTGAGTGGTGTCCTCATGATAGACCTGTAGCGTGCGGGAGGGGCGCCAGTGGTACCGCATGTTATGATGTTGAAGGAGCATGGTAAGCGGTCTGAGGGATCTGCGCCAGGCCAGAGTGCTCCCTGAGAGGTCGGCGTAAAAAAGGCGAGTGTCATTGCTTCAAATTGGAACGGGACTTTCCCCCTATCTGCTCCACTTCTGAATTGGACCACCAGGTCCCTTGGTACCGTAGTTGGGGCCCTGTTGGATCTAGGGATGTGGAAGAGACCCTCCAGTTGCATCATTCTGGCATGTTTTGGGGGCAGCAAGGTCTCCCACAAACGCCTTGTGAAGTATGGCAATTCAGCATCTTGGATGGTTTGAGGTTGTTATGGTGCCTGGTATCTTCCAGTGCCGCGAAGTGGTGTTCATGTATCAGGTTTTGCGCCCATAGGCCTCCAATCTCCTGTTGTAGTGTTGTTATGTGTTGGGTGTTCTTGGCTGTTGCACCCTCCAGAGCTCCCATGTGGCCTGTGAGGCTGCCACATCAGCAGAGATATGTTTCTGGAGTTCGGCCAGGAGCTCCTGCAATACTGCTCTGGTTACTGGGGCAGTGTCAGGAATGTCTGGGCTGCGCTGTGGTCATGGTGCCGTTTGTGGGGTCTGTTCCTCCACTCTGCCAGAAAAATCATCTGAGAAGTCAGATCCGCAGGCAGAGAGGGCTGCCATTTTAGGCCCTGTTGCGCCCTGCGCTTAGTGCCACAAATCGACGATCGTCAAACCCAGGTTTGGCTTATCAGGTCTTTGTTTTTTATTGTTCCGCCCCATGGTAGTTAGGCATCGTGTGGGGGTCCTCTCGGACCCGATGGCTGTGGGTAAGGTGGCTAGAAAAACGTGTTTTCTCGGCTGTGTGCCGGAGCTCTTGGGTCTTTGGACCACTTGCTTCTGCATTCAGGCTCCGCCCCCCCATGTTTTTATGTTTTAAAACAATAAGGGACTTGATTTTAGCTGAGAGCTAAGTTTTCATGGCCAAGTTTAACAATTCAAGAACACTGTGTGCCGGAGCTCATGGGTCTTTGGACCACTTGCTTCTGCATTCAGGCTGCGCCCCCCATGTTTTTATGTTTTAAAACAATAAGGGACTTGATTTTAGCTGAGAGCTAAGTTTTCATGGCCAAGTTTAACAATTCAAGAACACTCGGCTTGCAATGTTACCAGACAACTCCTTATAAATGTGGTAAAGCTCACGAGCACCCTTACAGAAAAGACACTAAATCTTTAAAGAAAGGTAATTTCCCAGGTCCATATGGCTTATTATAAGCAATTTTTGATGTTCTCTTCCTGTATATAAACAAGGCATTCAATGCTTTGTAAAAGAATGACTCCTGCACCAACATTCTGTTATGGCTACTATCTCTGTATTCTAATGCAGTGGTCCCAAACCCAGTGGTGTATTTTGAAATGGTGCTGTCCTAGGCATGACAGATATTGGGCACCCCCTAATTTAAATTTACCTGTCCTTCCTGTCAAGGCCACACCTCTTCCTGTTAACTAACACACATTTACAATATACAATAATTCACATACTCACAGATGCATACACTCACTGACAGACACACAATCACTCAGACACACATGTTCTCTGGACACACACACTCACAGATGCTCACTTACAGACATACACACACATTCACTGACAGACACACACACTCACACAATGACACACACACATTCACTGACACACATACATTCACTGACACACAATCACACACAATCACTGACACACACATTCACATTCACTCACACACACTCACTGACAGACACACACTCACATTCACTGACACACACAATCACTCACATTCACTGACACACACACACTCACAATCACTGACACACACACACAATCACATTCACTGACATACACACACTCATTCGCTCACATTCACTGACACAAACACACACATTTTCCCCCAACACTCACAGTTATTATTATTTTTTAAATTTAAATCCACTCAGCATCCCTACTTTTGGGAGAGCTGGGTGGATTTTTCATTTGGGGTCCAGTGGGGCTGCTGGGCAGGAAGGCGGGCGGACATGCAGGCATGTGGACGGCCATGCTTAGCTGTCAGCGAGGGAGCTGTGATCTCCCTGCTCAGCTCCCTCGCTCGTCGCAGGGTGATGCCGAGAGCTGGACAGACATCATATCCCGGCTCCCGGCACCTGTAATAAAGAGGGCCCACCAGATGTAATGTAATGATGATAGTAAGTTATTAGAGGGAGTGGTGGGAGGTTTATCTCTAACAGGAACCAGCATAGGTAAGCAGGGGGGGTAGAGCTTTTATAGGGAAAACTCCTCCCACAAATTCAGGCCTATGGCCTTTTACTTGTGGTCGGAACTTAATTCGTATATGAAAATAGAGAAGAGGGGGAAAGTTGGTAGTGGTGTGCCGAAGTCTTTTGATGATATGGACTGGTGTATCCATACTGGAGGCTGAGGTGGCTGCTCCAATTCTGAAGGAATGACCAGAAAATGCAATCCAATCTTAGCAGTAGTGTTCTAATGTGGGCTATGAATTTTGAAGTGGTAAGTGGGTGTCTGTGAAGAAGAAATAGGGGCGAGTTAGGTGGGAGACTGAAGCTTGTGGATAGAAATAAGTTGAGTGTTTTAACAGGACACCAGATGTTCTCTGCAGGAAGCAGACGGATTGTAGTTGGGTAGTTTGTGTGATTGGTTTTAGATGAGTGTAAAGACATAACGTAATGGTCACCGTGTTTGGTTACTAGTCCAGCGGGGGGAGTAATGGAGCTCTTGCTCGGCATCATGCGGCGCCGGGCCAGGAGATCAGCTGCCTCTCCCGCCCGAAACATGCTAGGCCTCAAGCTCCAAGGAGTGCGGCCAGCAGGCTTCAGGTGGGTCACAGACCGCAGTGTCAGTTCCCAGCCCATTCGTGGGTCTGGTAAGTCGAGTGTTGTCGCCACATTAAGGTTTTGTAGGGCTAAAAGTACCAGCATGAGCCCTGTTTGCTGAGGAACTCTGCTAAAGCACGTCTGTCCTCCATGCTAGACATGCCCCGCCCCCCAAAATGTGTTGCAAAGTTACATCATGCCCCTAGTCATGAATACACTTTATTATGCTGCTACGCAATAAATCTTTATAAAAAGAATTCTGTTAATGACAACTCCTATCTGGAACACTGCTACATGAAGTGGATGTAAAATCCCCCCCTTATTGCAGTTTCGCAGAGATGTGAAGGAAGTAATGGGAGGAAAAATGGGGTGGCCCTCATCCAGGTTGACTGTATGCTTTCATTTACTGGGCAGAGTGTGATAAGGTGTGGGCAGAACAAAATAACTCTAATGCCTCCAGGAGAAAAAGTTTTCCCAAGTAAGTGTACATATAGCTAAAAAAGCAACAGGTTCCTAAGTGTAGCTTTACATCACTCACAATTTATGTTGTCCATATTGAAACTGAAAGGTGGAGCTAGCTCTCCAAGGTCCTTCTCCAGCAGCCTTCTCCTGGAGCTTTGAGCTTTAGCAGGTGACCTGGGATTCCTGGACTGTGAAAACTTGTGGTCAGCTAATCAGTTGAGCCCACTGATCCAAAAGTCAGATGCAGTACAACTGAGAAGTTCTGCAGTGCCTCCAGTGTCCCTGAAACCAGGGGAAGAAGGCTCAGAATGAGTGCAGACAACATCAGAGGCAGTCTGGTCCCTGACAGGTGGTTTCTTTTGCAAGATGGGACTGGAACGCAGGCAAGGAGGTGGTCTAGATTGCCTGGCCCTTCCTCCACTCTCTGCCAGATCTGGATTCGTATCCAAAGAAGTGGCTGGTACCCTCTCTAAGAGAGGTACCTTGGGCAGCCGCATAAGGTGAGTTGCTGAGCCAGCAAGAAGTCCAAGGAAAGGACATAACATCTCCTTATTCACAGATGGAAGACAAAAACAGGAACAGCACAGCAAGAGATATGTGCTGCTCTTCTGCTGCCCTTGTGGTAAGTGAACGTCCCTTCTACCAGTTGTATACTAAGTAACATGTTTCTACTCCATCTAATTACTCTTTCTATGACCCCTAGCCAGCAGTGATGCACCTAAGGGTCAAGGAGTATTATTGCTATTGAGATGCAGTACTATTTCACATTTTAAGTGAAAATATATATATTTTATAAAGATATTTATCTTAAAAGATGGCAAAAACAATATATACACCTCTCGTCCAGTCCAGCTTTGTAACACTCCTGCTCCTATGTAATTTCCCTCTTACACTTGATTGTACTTGCTTGAGAAAACCTCCCCAATGATGCTAACACTATGGTTTTAATTTATACTCAATCTACATCCAAAAGATATCACTCCACTCCTATATTACAGGGTTATTTACTAAAGTGAGAATTCCAAGTGAATTTCGAATCTAAGATGAAAATAGCTGAACAGGAAAAATTATCTAAGTCAGCAATGCTTTCAGTTCGGCTACTCTCTGAAACTCTCTGTCTACTTTGAATTCCCACTTTATTAAATAAACCTGTAGATGTATGAAATATTAAGACATGATCTCCAAATGAATATGGACACTTTATTGCTTCATTATAATAACTAATTTATGTAAATAAAGAAGAAAGATTAAGGATTTTTGAAAGGTGCTGTTTCACCATTATCCCCAAATACAAATTGGTAATTGGCTTAACTACTTAACAGTCTCTGGGCTAATGTAACACAACATCTCAAGGAACCCTCTGTGGTGTCCTTAAAAGGGAATGAAATACTAGGAAAATGCATGTAAAGGCTGAGCACATGGAGCCAAATGCAACAAAGTGCCAGCCAAAAACGTTTTAAAAACTGAAAGAGAGATCGCTTCCATCTGTTTTGGTTTTTATTTTTGTACCAGAAATCCATTTCTCCCAAAGTACATTTAGTTGCACATGTCCAAACAACTGCCAGTATCCTATTAAGTACAAAGTAGAAAGTTAAACTGGTGCAACACCTGTCACAGGTTATTGGTTCTATAATATTTGCCAAAATATATTTTGCTCAAGAATCTTATTCCAGGTTCATGACTAATTCGGATTGCTCACATTAGCATTATGATATAACCCATCAATTATGTTGAGTGTATGATTCAACACAGATGGTAGTATTTGCTTTATGTCAACATGTCAGCAATTTCTGAAACGTGGACAATATTACATTTGACTATGTGCAACTGACATATCATTTTTTTAGGATGATAACTGCATATTTTATTTAAAAAAAAGAAAAGAAGGAGCAGAAAATTGTAGACTGAGAAAATCTTGTAATTTTGAGAGATTTCAGTTATTTCTAAATGCAGTCCTTGTTCTAAAAGCAGCAAATAAACTTGGAATGAAACACGTGTTCACTAATGTCTGATTAGGCTTTAGTATATACATTATGTGTGTCTTGTTTATATTTCTTCCTTGTGTTGTTATATTAAAATCCGATCATACAGCAGGGGACCTTCAATGCATGAAGCATTCTAGAAGACATGAAACAATATGAGCTACATCTTAAGCCGAGGAAACCATGGGTAATTCTATTTCCATTGTGAGATTATTCTAACCTCCTGCAGTTTTCTTAAATAAAAGACTTGCATATTTGCATTATTGAAGCGTATCATTTTTCCAACACTGGATTATGGGCAATATATGTATTGGTTTATAAAATGTTTAGTATTTATGTTAAATTATATATGTGTTGGCTCTAAACTCATTTAAAGTACACAATATTAAGTTGTATCAAGTTAATATCAAGTATTAATGGTTGTTGAACATAATGCAAACATAACCAAGTACACTAAGAAAGAGACAGTCTCTAGGGACTGCATTCACATTAAAAAACAAAATGTAGGGCAGCACTCAGTAGTCCTTTAAACCCTTAGTGATGAGACCAGTTTTCAATTTACTTACCGTTAATGACCAGGGCTGTTTTAACCCCTTCAGGACGGAGTCAATAGTACACGTTTTGATCAAAACAAAATGTAAACTGTAGCGGATGGCCGTGAGCTGCCCTGGGACTTGTATTATGTGTAACCTGTATTCGTTTAATTGCTAAATGTCTATGAAGTAAGGGAATGTATTTGTGCAAAATAGCTAAGTTCTATGTGTAAAATGTATTGGATTCGTCTGAATGTAAGGTAGTTTCATTCCCTTAGTTTGTTCGAATTAAACTACCGAATAGTCAGACCTCCCCTGTGTGAAGTGTGCCTTCAATTACCCGTTGTAACATTGTTGCGAACAGGTAATTGACAAGCTGTGTAGCAATCCTTTGTTCTCAGGGGTGGCCGCCATTCGAGAAACGAACACGTGGCGGCGGCCATCTTAACCTCCCGAACAGCGGTGTTTTGCCGTCGAGTGTCTGGAACTCAAAACGGACACTCAATTAGGCGAACACCTCTGAGACCTCCATTAGCCCGGTCCATTCGGTTCCAAACTACCAAATGTCTGTTCAACCGTAATTCACCTCTTTCATATTAAGTGCACCCACACTTATTATATATAATTTTATTCAGAAGAAACAGGGCTTTAATTTTCATGAACTATTCATATATGAAACATAACTTATTATGAAAAAAAAAAAAAAAAAGAGAAATTCAGATGTAACTTTTTTTTATAGTTCCGCCTGACAATTTAGCTGTAACTATCATGATACTGTTCGCTTTTACTGCAATAAAATGCACTTATTTGTATTCAGCAATGTCTCACGAGTACAACAGTACCCCCCATTAACACAGTTTACGGTGTTTTGGAAAAAAATGTGCCAGATTAGTAATGTTACAGGAATGAGAATTACCCCGATGATGGCATACCATTTGCAAAAGTACACAACCCAAGGTATTGCAAGTGGGGTATGTCCAGTCATTTTTAGTAGTGACTTAGTCACAAACACTGACCAAAGTTAGCGTCCATATTTGTTTTTGTGGGAAAAAAAGCAAAAAAACTAATATTTGGCCAGTGTTTGTGACTAAGTGGCTGCTAAAAAAGACTGAACATACCCCATTTGCAATACTTTGGGTTGTCTTATTTTACAAATGGTATGCCACCATGGGAGTAATTCTCATTCCTAGGCTACCATACACTCTCAAAGACAACAAAACCAATCTGACAAATTTCAATGGGAAAAAACGGCCTTATGTTTGACCCTGTAACTTTCAAAAACACTATAAAACCTATACATGGGGGGGGGGTAATGTTATACTTGGGAGACTTTGCTGAACATAAATATTAGTGTTTCAAAACAGTAAAACATACTAAAACAATTATATAATCAGTGAAAATGCCATTTGTGTGTGAAAAAAACCCAAACGCGTCACTTTCACTGACAATATCATCAACGTGATATGTTTTACTGTTTTGAAGCACTAATATGTGTGTTCAGTAAAGTCTACTGAGTAAAACAGTACCCCCCATGTACAGGTTTTAGGGTGTTACAGGTTACAGGGTTAAATATAGTGCTAGCAAATTAAATTCTCTGGACTTTTGGCCTGGGTTTCAGGCAGGTCCCCCAAATTGCAATGAATAAAATTACTTAATTATGTAAAAATATTACATAAATATGCACATAGAATTTAAATATATATACATATTTATATAGTTGAAGTCTACGTGTATATTTATGAAATTATGTAAATATGTATATGGACATATGTATATTTTGTATTTTTATTTATTTATTTATATATACATATATATATATATATATATATATATATATATATAATTTCATTCTAAGTGTATTTTGATATAAATATATATATATATATATATATATATATTAATATCAAAATACAGTTAGAATAAAATTACATATATATATATAAATATATATAATTTTAATTTTTACATTTTTTTCTTTATTTTTAATTATTATTTCTTTTTTATAATAATATATATAAAAATATATATAGTTATTATATATGTGTAATTTTACTCTGTGTATTTTATATTAATGTATAATATCTTGTTGAAGTGCACTCACAGGACTGAGCAATGTTTCAAATCGTGCTTTTTATTGTAATATCAAGTTTTCTGTAAAAAAAGTGTCGACGTTTCAGTCCAACCGGACTTTTTCAAGACGTGTGCTTTTTATTGTAACATCAAGTTTTCTGTAAAAAAAGTGTCGACGTTTCAGTCCAACCGGACTTTTTCAAGATATGTATATTTTACATATACAATACTACAACATGATTGGAGGGTGAAAAATCGAAAACAAGGTTCTATTATGTGACGTGTAAATTACTTCCGCTTTGAATCGGGATACTATATTCAACTAACAGGCACGTCCATGGGACCACCTATGGCTCCTATGTATGCCAATGCATTTATGCATTCATTCGAGGAGAATAATATCTTAATTAAATATGGATCACATATCATCAAATACCTTCGTTTTATCCTGATAATTTGGTATGGGGAAGAACAATCATAAATATGATGATCTCTTTGAATTTGTTAAATTCTCCAGTCAAATTTACCTACCAATGGAGTAAAACACAAATTGAGTTTCTAGACCTTCGAAAACAAAGTTGGCTATACATTATATTCTAAAAATATCGACAGAAACACTATCCTCCATACCTCCAGTTCCCATCCGAGAAAACTGAAAAAATCCTTGCCCATTTCCCAGTTCCTAAGGGTATTACAAAATAATTCTGATTTAACATTAGCATCCAAACAATTGGAACAAATGTACCAGAAATTCCTGGAGAGAGGCCATACAAGATCAATTTTAACCCGAGCATTGGAACAGGCAAAAGAATCACTAAAAGAACCTCAAAACCGGGTGGAGATAGGCAATCGACTGATTTTTCCACAGGCACTACACACTGATTCCTCCCAAATTGTCTTCAATTGTCTTCATTCGGGAGAATTGGAAGACACTTGAAAAGGACAATTCCTTACCACTTC